CATGGCGATTTTTTCTCAGAATTTACTATTTCTTGAACATTTTTAATCCAGGCTAAGGATTGTTACGGCTTATTAGTCCACACTTCACTATGCATTTAAAAAATGACGTCGGAAGGAATCCTAATAAACTGATAATGAGAAATCCGTAATAATAAATTCACCAGCTAATATACAAAAAACACTGAATGAACTAATTGGTTCAATATAAACCAATGTGAAGTTGCACAATTGGATGGACAGACAAAGTAGCATAACTTTTAAAAACCCCTATCTATCAACTGATATGGAAAAAAGCCCCCAGTAAAGCAGTGCTAAAAACTATCCCCACCTAGCTCAAATTTATGTGCTAATGAAAAACATCGATTCGGTTTGTTAGCCACAAAACCAATGAATAAACTGTCACAATGCTCAAGCTATCCACATCACATTTCAATTAGCGATTACATGAAATGAAATGTTAAAAACAGTGAGCAAGATGTCATCGACATTGCCAGCAAAAATATTGTGAAAACGGAAATACCTGCGAAAAAGAACGAAATCATTCATTAGACTGAATCATTTATTCATAAATCAATCAACAACTGTTAAAGATTTAAAAATAAATTTAAATAACGATCAAATATATGTACATTTCAAATATTTCATCAACAAATAAATAAATGTCAACAAATCATATACATTATTGCGAAAACCTCTGCATATTAACAACAAAATATAAATATTAGGCATAAAATGAGAAGAATGGAGAAAGTCTGACGGGGTTATTTGATGGACTGAAGAGGTGCTCGATACTTTTCTTCAAGACTGGTATGTTCAAGAAATTCATTGAGATCCTTCTTCGATAGACAATTCGATAGGCGTGCAAAATGCAGATGATAGTATAATATTTGTGAGTTGAATTTCGTCTCCGTCCCTTGAGTGGTGAACACCTGAAGAGAAATTATCACTGAGAAAACGTTTCCGAATTATTGCTGTTCTAACCTTCGAGTCCCCATTCAGACCTTCTTAAAATTCAAAATATTCTCAAACACGGTTGCAAATGGAACTGTCTCAAAATCCCAATGAAACTGGCTCAAAATCCAAATTTTCAAAAGGTCTTTGTCATTTGCTAAGAAATATAAGCAGAACTGCTCACTGCGTAAGAAAAAATGAAACGAATGTTTAAAATTCGACCGAATGAGATAAATACTCCAACAATAAGCTCATTACAATAATAATGAGTTTCAAAAGGCAGAAAATAGAAAATAATCTAACCTCAAGTGCAGATTTGATGTTCAACGGAGGTGTTTTAACCCAGTCCGCATAGAGCATAGTTGTTATTCCGTGTAGAACACTTTTACTACCAAAACTACTCGTGCAATCGTATAGAACCAACAACCAGAATGTCTAAAATGAACATTATAATCAAATTAGCACAAAAAATATCCAAAATCAAAAAATTTTCCACGATAATTTGGAACATAAGAAAGGGAAGAAACGAAATATTAGTGAAAATGAAATTTGAGCCGAATGGCTTTCGTTAACTCATCATCCAATTGACGGAGTCAAAAACTAAATTAACAAATAAAGAATTAAATTAACAAATAAAGAATTACGTTATTAGCAAAATATTTCGTGATTGTGGGTGTTTCTTTGATAAACGTGATAATTCTATTCGATTGCGCACCAGTTAGCCAATGTGCTAGAACGTCAATTAGCGCCGTTCGAATTGTTGTTTTCGTTACTGAGTACGCAACAAAATAGGATACAAATTCGGGTACTTCATCAGCCAGTGGCAGTAAATGTTCATGCTGAAATTGATATTCCACAGCAAACTCATTCAAACATCACCTGGGATAGAATCATAATAATCAGAACGACTAGAAGATCATTGTTTGTACAGATCAGATGCTCACAATGCGGTGTCAGCAAATAAGTTTTCCATCCTTCTGGATAATCTGCATATGTTTCATAAAGTTTTTCCCATCAACTTTGTTTATTTCTTTCAATTTATTAGCAAATGATTATTGAAATTTTCAAAAATGTCATTATCATTAGAAATCTTTACAAAACTAACCAAATTCCAATCTGATGGTGACATTATGAAGTGATCAACAAGGAGATTTATGATTTGTTGAGCGTAAGATTTTCCACTTCCGATCTGTAAATATCAAAAAAATCAGAAAATCACAAAAACCGTGGACGGTATCAGCATTCTTCGTCAGTAACGTAAAATAATTGATATTATTCATTTGAGATGAAAATTCTGAATTACGTAAAAGAAATTTTACGGTTGATAAACACCACTTTAAACGTCACTGAGTTATCAATGAGTAAAATTCTTACGAGAACCAACTTTATGAAGCCATTGTGAGACATGATTCAGCAACGAATAGCACGGGTACTGGATCGATAAAGAACACAGATTCATTAAGACTGATATTCTTATATCATGCAGCAAACCTTCGCCTTCTCTTCCACAAAATATCACTTCGAAATAGTAATACTGATGACCACGAGGTTCCGAACTTCGTTCCTTAAATATTTCATCAATTATTACATGCCCCATCAGTGCTTTACATAATTGTAAGATCAGCTGGGATTCGATAATTTGAAAATCGCTTCAGCTAAGAACATGAATGCTCATGAGTAAAACAAATACCAAAATGAATACGCAGAATAAATAAGACTTGAAATGAATAAATGAACTAACATTAAAATATTCACACAACAAGGCAAGCAATTGAAATTGTTGATTCGGATTCAACTTTAAGTCCCTTCGACGAGCGGACACGAAAAATAAATCATTATCCAGTAGATGTTGCAGTTCGTTATTTCGAACGGCTGTCGCACCAGCCGGACCACGCCATTTTTGCGTTTGTTGACCGCATATTTTCGTTACCTTCATTTGATTCATCAATTAATTTCTATCACATCACTGTTATAATTAGCAGAACAGTAAATCTACGTGATTACATAAAATATTAATTCATTAATTGTGATATAAGTAATAAATTCGGAAGATTACCTGCTCAAGAGCTTCAATGGCACATGCTGGAAATACTTGTCTCCTGGCTGGTGACGGGCATGAAGACACTGAACTTCCGGGACCTCTTCGATCCATCCAGAATGCTGGAATCCCAGTCTTCTTCCTGCCTCCTGCTAATTAATTCAGCTTTTCAAGTTTCAACGAAGAACCGAGAATTTCGGCGTTGTCGTACATAGCCAATGGGCGTGTGTATAAAAGCTCTGTGGAGCGTACAGAGAGGGGCGCATTAGCGATTTTCACACCTTCGGAAACATTTGAAAACACTGACATGTGAACAACTGTGGCATTTACAATGGAGATGGGAGGCACAAATGGATAATTCCAATCATACATAATTTTTCCATATCTGCAATCCAAGTTCCAAGCAGTGGTCACACACAACAAACCCGGAACTCCACATCAAATGAAGCATTTTGATGAGTGCCCGCTTAAGGTGATTTGTAGTGTTAGGTGCGAATATGACGGTAATCCTCCTCGCTCGGCTAACTCTCCTAATCGAAATCGCATTGTTTCATAAATCGCTCATGTTCTTTTCGACCGTAATTTTCTTACTAAGCAGTTTTGACCACAACCATCAGTTTTTATGCATGCAGCAATAAAATTATTCTCTCTCCGTCACAAGCACATTGGTTCACATGTCTGTTATGTGCTTGCTTTGCTTTGTTTCTAGAGGTTTGAAAGCCACTCACGCGCGGCGTTGTCTTCGTGCTGCTGCTTTAGTGCATGCTCATTGACTACTCACTCGTTCGACCCTAGCAATAAGCAAAATTTCAGATATGAAAACGCACATTGATAAACCATTGCCACCCATTATATTGTTAAATTTTAGTTGCAAAATGCTGAAATGTTTAAGCGTTTGAATTTAAACTTCGTTTAATTGCATGCCATTTTCTATTCATTGCAATTGGTCGTCTTGTGTTATGTCTTAATCGATGGTATTTTGCGATTGAAGCTAGTTCTTTCCCCGGATAGATTCTAGATAGTTTGAGAATCAGATTTAGTTTAAGCAATTGCTGGCTGTCCGAATAACCGTTGTCAGTTTATTAATTCAGAGATATGGATATCATGAATGTTATCTGAATCATAGCAGTAACTTGTTGTTTTTCGTTTATTTATCCAATTACGTTTATCACCAGTTACACTATTGGGGATGGTTGAAATCTAGATGCATTATCACAATTCTAGATTGTCATATAAAGTGAATAAGTGTACAAAACTTGT